CATGTCATCAACATACAAAAGCAAATATACAAAAGAACCATCATTGAGCTTTTTATGATAAACACAACTATCATATTTACTCCTAGAGTAACCATGCTCAAACATGAAAGTATCAAATCTCAAATACCACTGTCTCGGAGACTGCTTCAACCCATAAAGAGATTTTTTCAACCTGCACACATGATCTTCTTTACCTTCAACAATGAACCCCTCTGGCTGATGCATAAGGATCTGCTCCTCAAGCTCGCCATGTAGAAAAGCCGTCTTCACATCAAGTTGCTCAAGTTCCAAATTAAAATAAGCAACCATGGCAAGCAACATGCAGATTGAGGTGTGTTTTACAACTGGAGAGAATACTTTATTGAAGTCCACACCTTCGGTCTGACTATAGCCTTTAGCCACCAAGCGTGCCTTGTACCTTACAGAATCTGTATCCGGAGCTCCTTCTTTCTTCTTGAAGACCTATTTACAGCCAACGATCTTCTGCCCCCTTGGTGGCTTCACTAGCTCCCATGTCTGGTTCTTGTGAAGAGACTCCATCTCTTCAGTCATCGCAACAGTCCAATTTGCAGCTTCATTGCCACTAATAGCCTCCTTGAATGTAGAAGGCTCTGGAACCCCAATCGATACTGCTATACTCAAAGCATAAGCAAGCATGTCTGCATAGCGTTGAGGAGGTAGGATCTGCCTTTTTGTTCTCCCGGTGGTAATATTATACTGTTGCTCTTGTGGTGTATCAGCATCTGAAGTTGAATCTTCCTCAGTATCAACTGGTTCAATATGAGCGCCCTCAAGCACTCTCTTTGAAGTAGAGCTCTCTAGCTCCACCTGCTTGCTAGACTCCTTTTCAGTACCTATAGTATCAATAACAAACTCCTTTCTCGGGTGAAGCATGGATTTTTCATCAAAAGTAATATCCCTACTAATAATAAATTTAGGTGACTTGGGATCAGAACACTACAATCTATATCCCTTCACCCCAGTAGCATATCCTAGAAAGATAGCTTTCTTTGCTCTGGGTTCAAGCTCCTAGAAAGATAGCTTTCTTTGCTCTGGGTTCAAGCTTACCATCATTAACATGAAAATAAGCAGAGCAACTAAATACTCTTAAATGAGAGTAATTAGAAAATAAGCAGAGCAACTAAATACTCTTAAATGAGAGTAATTAGCAGGGGCACCAGACCATACCTCTTCCGGAGTCTTAAAATTAATTGCTGTAGAAGGAGATATGTTTATCAAATAGCAAGCTGTATTGACTGCCTCGGCCCAAAAGTCTTTTGACAAACCGGCATTAGAGAGCATGCATCGAGCTCTCTCTAAAAGTGTTCTATTCATCCTTTCTGCAACTCCATTTTGCTGTGGTGTATGCCGAACTGTATGATGACGCACAATACCTTCATTCTTGCAGAACTGATCAAACTCTGTAGAACAAAACTCTATCCTATTGTCGGTTCTGAGGCGCTTCACTTTCTTTCCTGTTTGCTTCTCAATCATAACCTTCCATTGCTTGAAGGTTGCAAACACACTACTTTTATGCTTCAAAGGAGACACCCAAACTTTTCTGGAATAATCATCAATTAATGTTAGTAGAAAACGAGCTCCACCTTTCGATGGAACTTGAGAGGGACCCCAAACATCTGAATGGATATAATCTAAAGTACCCTTGGTTCTGTGGACACCGGTACTAAAGGATACTCTATGGTGTTTACCAAAAACACAATGCTCACAAAAGTCTAGCTTACTAATTTTCTGACCACAAAGCAGACCTTGTTTGCTCAATATATCCAGTCCTCTCTCACTCATATGCCCTAACCGCATATGCCACAAACGTGTAGTGTCAGAATCTGAATCCTCTGAGGATGACACCGCTGCAGCACCTGTCACTACACTGCCTTCAAGGACATAGAGGGTATTTACCTTCTTTCCTTTCATCACAACAAGAGAGCCTTTACTAACTCTTAAAACTCCACCTTCAGCCGAAAACTTAAAACCATTTGAGTCAAGGGTGCCTAAAGAAATGAGGTTCTTCTTTAACTCTGGAATATGACGGACATTGCTCAATGTTCTAACAATACCATCATGGGTTCTAATCTTAATTGAGCCGATACCAACAGTCTTACAAGGCATGTTATTTCCCAACAAGACATTTCCATCATTGATAGACTGATATGTGACAAACCAATTCCTATGCGGACACATATGGTAGGAACAACCCGACTGTGAACTTCATGTGAACTAGAAGACTATTCAGTTACAGTGGCAACTGAAGGTTTCACCTCCCCAGACTTCGACTGTGAATTATCCTTTGCTTTGAGCGCTGGACAATTAGGTTTTATATGCTCATATTTATGACAGTAATAACATTCAACATTTTTTCTTGGCCTGGACTTTGATCTAGACATGTTTCTAGATTTGCCTCTACCACCAACACCCTTTTCAGAACGACCACGAGCGAACAAGCCTTCAGCTTGATCCTCTCCTCCTACGACAGACACTTTCTGCCTTAACTCTTTTGAATGTAAGGCTGATTTGACATCCTCCAAAGAAAGTGTATCTCTACCGTATAACATGCTATTGATAAAAATTTTATAGGAATGAGGTAATGAACATAACAAGATGAGTGATTGATCTTCTTCGTCAATTTTAACATTAATATTCTTTAAATACATAAGAATAGTGTTAAGTTCATCTAAGTGGTTTTTAATTCGCATACCTTCCTTCATGCGAAGGGTGAAGAGGCGTTGCTTCAAATAAAGCTTGTTCGTCAGAGATTTTGTCATGAACAAGCTCTCCAGCTTGAGCCACAAGCCGGCGGCGGTATCTTCATCGGCAACCTCCCGCAGGACCTCATCGGCCAAACAGAGCTGTATGGCACTATGCGCCTTCATCTCCAGCTCTTCTTTCTCATCATCGGGCATAGATTCCGGTAACTTATCCTTTCCGGACAAGACCTTAAACAGTCCTTATTGTACTAGGAGAGCCCTCATTTTTACTCTCCACAAACTGAAATTATTTTTCCCATCGAATTTCTCCACTTTGTACTTCGCAGAAGACATCTTGAAGCCAATTGGAAAAGTAACTGTATTTATGAACAGTAACCGTATTTGTGAGCAGTAACCGTACGTATGAATAGTGACCGTACGTATGAATAGTAACATCACTTTTGAATACGTGAATAGTATCCGGTGCTTTTAAAGAGTAAATGATAATCTAGCTTATTTTCTGATGTGGAGGATCCACTTTTAGTGGCAACCACAGAGCATACGATAAACAGATACACGTACTCGAAACAGGCTCTGATACCAGTTTGTTGCAGCGGAGGGGCTTCACAGACACAGAAGATGTCTATATAAGAGTGGACAAATAGAAAACAGCACACCAGGATTTAACATGGTTCGGTCAGTATGACCTACGTCCACGGGCGAGAACAGCAGAGAACTTCACTAATCACCAAAAGAAAATATTACAAAAGAGGAGACCACTCTCTAACCAGAGACTCTCACAAAGAAAGGAACAAAACCTTTCTATCTCACTCACTTCTCTCCAACTCTCTTCTTCTCTCTAAAAGTTTTGTTTCTCTCCTAGTGATGATTTAAACCCTTCTCTCACACCCCTTTATATAGCCTTCAAATATTAGTAAAATATTAACAAAGAGTGGACAAATAGAAAACAGCACACCAGGATTTAACGTGGTTCGGTCAGTATGACCTACGTCCACGGGCAAGAACAACAGAGAACTTCACTAATCACCAAAAGAGAACATTACAAAAGAGGAGACCACTCTCTAACCAGAGACTCTCACAAAGAAAGGAACAAAACCTTTCTATCTCACTCACTTCTCTCCAACTCTCTTCTTCTCTCTAAAAGTTTTGTTTCTCTCCTAGTGATGATTTAAACCCTTCTCTCACACCCCTTTATATAGCCTTCAAATATTAGTAAAATATTAACAAAGGTTGTTGGAATAGTGAAACAATTAGGCAGAAGAGTTGGTGAACTTTGAAAAAAGATGAAGGTTCAAAGTCACGTTTAACACCAATTGTTTTAGAGTTTTTGGAATTATAATATTGTAGGTGTATTACAACCTACTCCTCTATTTGATCTATTATAAAATAGTTGTGTACTATAGCTGAGTTGGCGGCCATTATAGCAGTGAACCACTCAATAACCAAACATGCCCTTAGAAATGCTTTTTGTTGGACCTAAAATAGGGGACAACTAATTTGGGACAGCTGAAGTGGAAAAGATTTTTCCTAATTTATTGTACCCTTCTTTATCCCAAGCTAGATACAAGAAATCTGTAGCCGAGGGCACTTTCAGAATTTGGGAAATTGTTATCAATTCTTCTTCTTCATTTACTTCCACTATCGGTCTAATCTTTTAGCTCGAGCCTTAGATCTGGAGATGCCCAATGTAGATCACCTCCATGTCCTTGAGCTTGACCTAAGGAGCAATTACAATCTGCACCTTAAGAAGCAAACTTATATTAGTAGAAACTCGTATAAATTCGAAAATTGTTATCAACTCGTCTTCTTCATTTACTTCCACTGCTGGTCTAATCATTTAGCTCGAGCCTTAGATCTGGAGATGCCCGATGTAGATCACCTCCATGTCCTTGAGCTTGACCTAAGGAGCAATTACAACCTGCACCTTAAGAAGCAAACTTATATTAGTAGAAACTCGGATAAATTCGCACATCTTATGTCCAATTACAACCTGCACCGAAAAACCTCAAATGCAGATCATATCTTTCATATTGCTTCATCAACTAAGACCTCAGTTAAAGTGGACCATCAATTCCAATGATTACTTCAATGGATCATGAAAATTGCAATAAATTTTGGAGGACAGTTTCCCATACAAAAGAACACAACAGAAGTTGCAGTTTGATGTGCTTACTTCATCAAGCAGTAGGAACAAAAACCTTGATTTAAAGACAAAGCGGCCAAATGGTACCTTGACTGACACTCGGTCCCAGCGATATCTCCGAACGACAAGTCAAATAGCTAATTATCCATCAATTATTATTAAATCTGGGAGTTTGGCACAATTGCAGTATAACAACGAAAAACAGAACAAGGTGTGCTCTTAACAAACGATTAATAGATTTATTTACATTCACAAGCTTTTACAAACATCAACCATAAAAAATGGATCAACAATGAGAAAAATAGAACAATATATTCAAGCTACAATAATCTCCTGAGCCATGCCTTCACCAGGAAATCCAGGAACCATTTGCTTCCCCCATTTCTTCCCTATATTAAGCTTTGCTGCTGTAATCTCCTCTCCATCCAGTTGATGATATCGAACCCTATTTCCTCCCTCTCAGGCTCAAACAGGAGATCGTGTAAGAAGCCTTCATACAACTTGATGTCTTTGAATCTCGAGGCAGCCTCATTATAGAGATCTTGTGAGGCCAACGGATCTGTTACTCTATCTGCAGTCCCATGGAGAACTAAGAAAGGTACAGTAACGGAGCTTAAATTCTGAGTCAGGAAGGATGATATTCGTAGAATCTCATGGCCGGTGCGAACCCTAATTGGTCCTGTGTACACCAAAGGATCAGAGTACTTGGCTAACATTGCTGCAGGGTCCCTTGATACTGGTATTCCCCTTTTGTTAGCTCCCTTGAAGGCAAGCCTAGGGGCCAACAAGGAAAATATAGGAGCCACAGCCTGCAAGAGCAAGAGGATGCGTTAGATACGTGGACCACCACTCTGATCCATTTTCCTTCAGCAAAGGAAAAAGGATTTTCTTTTTTGTGGCAAATAAAAGCAAATTTACTATTGACCTATAATCACAGCAAGAAATAAATATAGTACAGAAGCATTCTCGAAATTAATGCTAGATGTAAGAGACCAATTTATGGTGTACTTTTTTGGCCTGAATGATGGTAAGGTAATTACTCAGGCAATTTATTTTGTTTTTTGTACAATCTTAGTCACTCAAAAACACCATCTTTCTCATTTCATATCTTTGCTTGGTGATAATTATAATGAGCTAAAATTTCAAAACTAAGAGAAAATGGGATTTATGTTTTATCAGTTGACATAATTAATGTCTTCAGAAACTAAAAAGAAGGTTCTGCACTATAACTAAAGCTTGTAAGTGACCAAGAAAATCATCGCCAAATCTTACCGCATGAGGATGGTTTTCCTCCCAAGGCAAAATCTTACTGCATGAATGTCACTTTTGATTATAAAATAGAAACGAATCACTGAAACTAGCAGCTTATATAATCTAATAAACAATACCTGACCAGCTGTATATGTGCAAAATGTAGAGATTACTCTGGAAGGACACAAGAATAAACTACCCCCACGGTTTTAAAAAGTCTCCGCCTACTCCGCCTAGGCCTAGACGGTACCTAGAGTCTAACTAGCGCCTAGCGCCTAGGCAGTACCTAGGCTGCCCACCTAGATTTTAAGAGTGGTTATGGGAGCATTGTCTGCTTACGTGGAATGCACCCTTAAGACCTTGATCGTAATTTTCTGTGTTGCAGTCCATGTTCTCCAACCTCCTTCAAATTCTTTTAACCTCTAAATATGAACACCTTCACTACCTCTTCCGACCTTCAGCAAAACCTCTCCAACCACCACTAAATGAAGAAAGAAATCCGCCTAGATGCCAATTAGGCACCTAAGCTTTCTATAACATTGATATTTACTATCAATTATTGTAATTAAAAAATAAAATAATAAAATCTCCTAGGCTCTAGGTATCGGATCCAACGCTTAGGCCTACCAGCGCTTTTTATAATCTTGTTGGTTATTATTTTGTCTATGTAGTATTTAAGTATGCATGATTTATTGTGGATCTAAGATTGATATCTTTTTTTATAAATTTATATGAATTTAGTACATATTTTTATTAATTATTATAATTAAATAATTTTAAAAATAGCTAAATGCCTAGGCGTCTAGGCGCTAGGTGCCGGCTCAAGCGCCTAGTCCCCTAATGCCTTCTGTAACATTGACTACCCAACAACTGGATGACATTGAAATTAGTAGCTATATAATCTTTAAAAAAATACTTGACCAGTTATACATGTGCATTAATGTAGAGATTGTTATAAAGGCAAGAATAAATTACCCCAACAATTGCATGAGCTGGCTTTACACGAAGTGCTGGTGATGTTAGTATCACTCCTTCCAACAGAGCCTCGATATGAGGCCGTAGAGCTGCCTGTAGTTTTCTATGATTAATGATAAGCAGAAAAAAGACACATATTCTAAAACGAGTAGAATCAAGCTCTTTATCCTCACATTACCTTTAAAACCACAGCTCCTCCCGTGGAGTGACCGAGAAGAAAGCTAGGAACACCAGGATTTTCTAACTTGATTCTTTCAAGTAAAATTCCCTGTAGTATGAGACGGAAAATGAAAGTAATTTCATAAGAGAGTAGGGCTAGATACTTATGATTATATATGCTGCAGTGCGCTGAACTAATGCATACAACATATAAAAGAACCAGCCGATATCTATACTACATATAAAAGAGGATTCCAGTGTCAAAATTTTTGAATTTCTTTTTTTCCCCTCTGATTTTGATATTTTCCAATTTTATCTTTAATTAATTGCATATAAAGTCTCATTCTCATTCAATACATATAAATTACATGCTCAATATAGTAAATACAAATATTATAGTAAATATAGGATATATAGATAATTAATATAATGCAAATGTCAACATAGTTACATGGTTCGCAGTACGTAGCGATCGTCGTACGAATTCAGGTACGCAATTCGAGACTTTGAAATTTTGGATTTCATAGGGGGTAGCGTTGCTTCGATGCGCAACTCCGATATGAGACACGATATAATTTTTTGGGGTACGCTTATCATTTCTTAAAGTCTATAGTAGAAAATTAGAAACTAGAAAATTAATTATACATTTCAATATTTTTTCATACAAAATAATTCAATACTTCATTTTATAGTTTTTGAATACATAAAATTTAAACTATTAAATATTAAACAGCCTCTTAATAATTTTTTTCTATTTCGCAACTTTCTTCCCCTTAACATCAAGCGCATCTTCTACTAACTTCGAGTCCAAACAATTCCATCTAAGCTCCTCCAACTTACTTGAAGAGTCCTCCAAGTTATCATTACTGGGATCCATATCTCATCCTTTATATGGACCAACTTTATAACTCTCACAAAATCCTGATAGGAGGCGAATGTTTGAATGGATGAATACTAATATATCCGCCCTTCCACTATTCAATATATTCATTTTCACACTATGAATGTAGGAAGAAGCTAAGTTGCATGAAAACGGGCACGGGTACTGGTATGGGTGCGGGTACAGGTAGAGGACACGATAAAACTGTAAAATGTAGGGTACCGGGACACGGCTACATATATATATTAAATTAATAATGTACATGAGATAATTTTTTCCCGCTTCATGTGTCATTAGAATTAAAATTCCAATCACATTCTTGAGTTTCTTTTATCATATTGATTATCCTGAATTGTAAACTACTCACTTTATTACTAGACATCTAAATGACTCATTAACTATATAGTTACGAACTTGGGTATGGACTGAAACGAACCTAACCCGTATCTCATTAGTTTCAAAAGACGGATGTGAAGTGTAAGCTCTACGTCCAGGAAGTCTTTGACAAATGCTTTAAATTAACACAAATATCGTATAATTGAGTACTTGTAATAAACGCATGCATATATTCAAGAAGTGTCCATGAAGTTTGGGTATGGGAAAGCGTCGGGTACGTGTTCAGTACGATTACGGCTTCATTATAGAAGTACACGAGTAACATAAGGAAGAAGTAATCCAATTTCTTGCAGCTGAAGAGCTACTAATAGGCCGAGACAAAATCTTCTTAGCAACATCAATTGGAGAAATAGTGATGTAGAATTAGTTATTAACTTTAGATAACTTTCACTTACTAAAAGGATACTTTTAATAATATTATCAAAACATATAAAAAAATCTAAGCGCGTGTGCAGGAAAACAAACTTGTAAATCAACTTTGAACCCTTCATACTTAGTAACAGTAAGCTAATTTTGGCGAACCAAATCGTATATAAGAGGGAATCGGTTCGTAAATGTATAGGGAATCGGTTCACATGAACTGTTCGACAGTTTGGAAGGGTCTAGGGAATCACGCAACTATATATCAAACTAATACTACTACATGTTTCATGTTGCACGTGATGTGTCAACTTAAAATGACATGCATGCATTATGCATACTTGAATCATGAGTTACATTTAAATTGTAGTTTTTATTTTAGGAGCAACTAAAACAATTATTATGGAATCCAAAGAGGCTACCTATTGTCATAATTCTTTATATTATAATTTGGAAAACTAATAGCTTTTACTTACAGTCTTACAACCTATATAAAGATGAGTTTTACTTTTTGATTACTTAATCCTTGAAAATCGTTTCTCTGGCTACAACCATCTCATTGTCAAACAATTGAGAATTAATGTATGATGAAATAACGTGCCCATTGTTATCAAGGCGCAAGGCGCAATGCAAGGCGCAATGCGAGGCGCAAAGGCCCCTTACACGCACGATGCCCGCGCCGCACTGAATTGAGACGCACAACTCAAACTAATATTTTTTAACATAAAACAAAGAAGCATATAAACAACATGTTTATAAATTATCACATAAAAAGACTAAGAAATATAATTTCACCTACTAAATCACGAAAGTCTTAATTAGTATGCATAACATAGAAAAATTCATAAGTTTTCACAAATCACAATGCAAGATAATCTCCAACATAAGCAAAAGTCTATGAAACAAAACAAGCAAGTAACAAATAATAAATATGTATTTTTATTTAAAATATAATATATGTATTTTTAAGTAACAATTAAGTGATTAAAAAAACATGATTGTTCATAATTTTCTAGTTAGCATGAAAAAATGAAGAATGAAGGTAATAATTACATATTTACATGTTCATAATTTTCTAGTTAGCATTCTTAATTGCTATTTGCTAGTTAGCATGAAAAGATGGAGAATGGAGGTAATAATTACATATTTACACATGCTAATTAGAGAAGAAAGTTACAATTAGCAAACAAGTATACTAAATTACTAATTAATGTTTCCTTTTTATAGGTTAAATATGAAAAGATGGAGAATGAATTAGCAACTAGCAAGAAAGGGTCTTTTACATGATGTAAATATGTAATATGTAAATTATTTAAAAAAAACCGAAGAAAGAGTCTATTACATGATGCAGGTGTCAAGCGCACACGAGACGCATGCGAGGCGAACACGAGGAGTGCGCCTCGTGTGCGTGTAGCGGCCCCGCCTCTGGTGCGGGGCACAATTGTCTCAACCCGCAGCGCCCCGACCCGGGACGCGCGCCTCGATAACAATGAACGGGCCTACTTAAATTTGACGCTATTTTATTAAACTTGTCATTTCTATTTATTAAGAACAAAGACTTGTTTTGTTAGGTTTTGTGTTTAAGTGGTAACGCTACATGATCATGTTTCTTTAAACTAATCGTTAAAATCTACTATCTTTAATTATACATATCTTGAAGTTTGTATCGATTATGTTTCTCCTCAATGTCTAACAATTTAGACCACCAGATTGTATCAATTTTCTTTTTATAATAGTATCAGTATCTATTATGTTTATCATATATGCAAAAATTTGCAAATATATACAGGGTGGAGCACACCAGATTGTATCATAAAATGGCGATTTTTAAGTTGATGAGGGTTATTTTCAAGTTCCATGTCTGCAAAAAAGAACCGCGTTGTCTTGCTTATCATTTTACATTATCGGTTTAATGTATTCAATTAACTCTACAAGCTACAGATACTTTGATAATCATAGTCATTTGATATAAGGATTTTAATAAACTTATTTTATAGTCTCTTAACGGATTCAAACTATCCTAAATTCTTGAGAATATTGATCTCAAAAGCTATGTTAAAGTAATATAGCTTTTCTCAAAGTTCAAGTGAATAAATGATAGTAGAATAAGTGGAGGACACATAACTAGCAGATGTCATGAGCAGATTAGCACTTATACTTGTATATGGGGTTGCTTGCTTCTACTCTACGTAGTTTTAGCAAATAAATAAAATTATTTAGCATGAGGTGACTATTTTAATATTTAAAAAATAACAAACAATAAGGATTTATGTATTATCGTATGTGATGCTCAAAACTTTTGTCATGCTTTTCTTCAAAGCTTTAAATCAAAACCTAAGTCCATGTGTAACGCACGTGCATTATACTAGTATTTGAAAAAGAATCTTTCTGTCAATTTCATACAAAGTGGAAAAAGTATAACTAAAAGATAACTTCGCATAAATATTTTATTTTTCAGTCTTTTTAAATGAATTATTTATGTTATAACCATTCATTATTTTATTAATTAAAGTAGATTACTCATCGAATATCTCGAGATTATATCGTATATTTGACGATAATATTTTTAATGTATATGGTGCTTGCATTAAATTTAATTAGTTAGTATTAGCAATTATAGAAACCTGAGATTGATTCACTGTTTTTTTATGGTATTCTACTCTCTTCAAACATAATCGATTCACTGTTTTTTCATGGTATTCTACTCTCTTCAAACATAGTACTTCTGGATAATCACTTGGACAAATATCAATTTACCTAGCTTATTATCTCTTATCTTTCTCCTTATGCAAACCATACAAATTTAATTCAGTAAGTTCTAATTTAACCAACACTTCCTGTTTTTCTTTCTGATAAAATAAAATCAAATTCTTCTCGAAGAAAATTAAACACTTGTGAATATTTATAATCATTTCATCATAATGATTTTTTTTTCTCACTACTAACTTTAAATAGTTATTATAATTTTATAATCATAAAATATAATCATATTTAATTACTGATCTTTTTAGTCTGTAACATGCATAGCATGCCAGCAAGTTTATGCACATAGATAAAGTACTCACAGATCCAGTAGGAAGAACTTACAACATCGGCAACAACATGATCTAGTGAAGGAACATATCCATGCAGTCCATCACTACCTCCATGACCTGAAATTTTAAAAGATAAACCAGTTGTAAACATCAAACATATGTCTGAATACCTTAAAATCAAAAAAAGAACCTATGACACACAAAACACTATCGGTTTGTGCTTTGAGATAGTCATAGGGTATTTCCAGAAGAGCCGTTGCGTTGAAGGAACTACATATGGTAATACATTCAGAACTCTACTGCTTCACATACTAATCTTTAGAAGCAAATGACAGATGACCATGAATGGAAGAAAGATGATAACAATGAGTAATGCTAACACTACTACTCATAGCACACTATTTGTACTATTGTCAGAGGAATGAAAGGTGTGCCTTGTTGCTACTTCACCAAGGTCCAAGACAAACCAGGGTTTCCACTCGCCATCTCATTCTAATGCTGCTAAACTTGTACACTGAACGTAACACAATATACATTTTCCAAAAATAATAAAGGAAAATAACATGGACCAGAAACTGGCACAATTAGAATATTTAACATGTATTCATGCTATCATGTATCATTTGGAGGTAAAGATCACCCTTTCTAGACTCTCTCATGTCATGTATCATTTGGAGGTAAAGATCACCCTTTCTATACTCTCTCATGTGAAGAAAATTAGCTTCAGCTTGAATTGGCTTTTATAGTCTTGTAATCAAATTGATGGAAGTCGAAAAAATTTTGCAAGAAAGGGACAAACAGAGAGGTGCCAGAGAACAGTGTGTACAAGGTGTCTACCTGTCCAATCCATTGCATATACTCCAAAGTTGCACGACATGAGCTGCTTTGCAAACTCTGTATATCTACCACTGGAAATAGAAAGCATCAAATTAGTATTGCAATTCATATAACTGACTACAATGATATGGATGTCTTCATCCTATGGACATGTAGGAAGACCAAATTCCCTAAACATCCAAAATATAACAAAAAAGAGTACAGTGGAAAAATCAGCCACCACAATAGCAACCATTTGATAGGGACTGGAAACTGGTCATTTTCAGGACTCCAGGATCACAGTTCATGCAAGCCAGTGCCTCCATTAAGGAAAAGATTCATTCTCTAGAACGAGCCTGACACCAACAACCATCCAGACAGAGTCTAACGGACTGCATTGAAATATTATGATATGAACCTAAGGTTGCTAAAAACAATAATGCTTTAGAGGGTCATGCTCATTATCATCCTACATGTTTCTTACCTATGTTCATTGAGGCCATGTATAATCACCAGAATAGCCCTGCAAAACCAAAAGGAAAAACAAAACAAATGTTGGTTGATACTTTAGTCCAGCATCTAAGAAAAAACCAGCAAAAAAAAGTACCTAAGAAGTAAGAATTTACAGAAGTACTACAAAAACATTTTATTAGCTAAAGAAATAATTCAGACTTTGGCCTAGTGGATCATACAAAACCATATAAGAATGGATCCTCTCCAAAATCTTTACATAAAGAATTCATATCTTAAGAGATAATAAAAAAAGAAAAAAAGTAGCAACCAGTTCAAAGCACAAGAAATGGAAGACAATGCCTACTCTTATTATTTGATTTGAACAGAAATATAGAAATATTTTGCTCGATCACAATATTTGACAAAGTAAGAGACTGGTAAACGGTTCCAGATACTGAGGTAGCAGGCAACAAATGCTACAGTTGTGTTATTACAGACTTAACATGAATTCCGACGTCACAGAATATTGCAGTGGAAATTGGAAAGCATATACTAGGAAGGGCAAAAAGGGAAAAAATAATTGATGCAATAAGGATTAATTTTTTTATAGCATAGCACCGAGGTGAAAACGAAATGCTGGGGAAAATATACGCGAAGCCTCACAAACTAGTGTACTTCTAATCTGAAGTGCAATAACTGTTAGCAAGGAAACAGAATCATATACACCACCATGACCAATCAACAGTTGCATCACTACCTAAGAACTACTATCTCGGGAACACCTGAATACTATCTCGGATTTAGCAATGTAGTTTTAGGAAGGGGGCGGATGGCGGGGGGTGAGATCTACAGTAAAGCATCCACTAATACAATTTCCAACCCGAAAAAAAGCGCCAAATTTTACCACGCATTAATAAAAAGTGAAGTGCAAAAACACACATTAAAATTAACTAGACAAGTAAAAGGAACTCAATCATTTCTAAGCAAATTTAATCATGTTATTACAAAATTTACACAATTTTATAACTTAATTGGGACCCAAACCCTAGCCCGTAGTTAACCAAAATCCCATATGAAACTACTTAAGATCGCCACTTGATCGGAGCCACGACGGCAAACATGTGTTCTCACCCCCTCGATAAGAACTTTTCACCGCTCCCATTTCCAAATACCCTCCGAGCCAGGCTCTCCTCTCTCTAACATCTTCGTTCCTTCCGTACCGGCTCGGAATCTGGCAGAAGGATCGCCGGCGGGGTGACGGAGGCGGCGATGAGCTTGGGGAGAGAGTTGCGGCAGGGCCGCCGGATCGGCTCCGCTGGGGTCGGGACGGAGAGAATCCAGAGGAGAAGGAGTTAGAGGAAGACGCGGGGATTATGCGGCCGCTGGCGCCGGAGGTTAGGGTTTCGTCCATGAAGGCCGGCGAGGGGTATTTTCGTCCTTTTGGAGGGGAATTTCTCCCTTTCTCTCTCTCTAGAAGGGAGCGTGGAATACGCCGTCTGCAGAAAGCGGGCGTGAGAAATTATGGGCAGAATGCTTTGTTCCTCTTCTAAATTGGATTTTTATTGGAATTTTTTTTTTTTTTTTTTGTCCTTTCCATACAAAAGAAATTTTCAAAACCGATCCAAATCATGTTTTTATTTTCAAAACCGATCCACTTTTTTTATTTATCAAAATCGACTCACTTTTTGCCACGTCAGCTTAATCTCTTTTCCTAATTAGTCGGGGTTGCCAACCCCGACTATTTAGGACAGCAAAAACCGGGTTTAAGGCTTCTAATTGGGGTTTAACAATCTCCTAAACAGTCGGGGTTGCCAACCTCGACTGTTTAAGAATGGGATTAAGTTGACGTGGCAAAAAGTGGGTCGATTTTGATAAATAAAAAAAAAGTGGGTCGGTTTTGAAAATAAAAACATGGTTTGGGTCGGTTTTGAGAATTTTTCTTTCCATACATGCTCCCCGAAATCTATAATATAGCAAAGGGTAACTATTATGAAACTTCCTACAATGTTTTTATTTTGAAGAAATTTTCAAAATCGTCTCAATAGAATTTTTTTTAAGAAATAGACCAATTCACTTTTAATTATAGAAATTGACTCACTTTGAGTTAATTGCGGTACTAATTAGTCGAGGTTGCCAACCCCGACTAATTAGTAGCCTAATTACAAGCGGGGTCAAGGAGCAGGGAAGATTTGCGGCTGCTAATTAGGCTACTAATTAGTCGGGGTTGACAACACCAACTAATTAGTATCGTAATTAACTCAAAGTGAGTCGATTTCTATAATTAAAAGTGAATGGGATCGATTTTTATAAAAGAATTCCTTTGAGGTGATTTTGAAAATTTCTGCTTTTATTTTTTACTACAAAACCCCCTGCTGTTAAAAAATAGTTAAAATCTATTTACTTTTTTGCTAAAAAACCCCTCAATAAAGCTTCTCTTCTTTCTCCAAACCTAGTTCCCCTCTATTCTTATCAAAGCTAAGCGTGACCCTTGACAAGGAGAAAATTAACAGAAGATCAAGGTCATGTCTCTAAACCTTTGATTTTAGCATGTATTCAATGTAATTTTCAGTTCCTAATATTTTTCATGCCTTTGAAAGAAAGGGAAGGTCTATTCAGGGAAGAAGGGGGTAGTTTTGGAAGAGAGAGATTATATCATTTTTAAAAAAAGTTGGGTGTTTTGAAATGAAAAAATAGTGTTAGGGGTTTTTGTAATAAACTACCAAACCTCAATGGCGTTACATAGTATTTAACCTATTCCAAATTTAGCCTCTAAATCTAAGCATTTGTATTCCTAAATCTCTAGTATTAGTTTTTTTCTTTCTGCTCCTCAATTTTAAATATCATTAATAAATTATAATTAATCTAATTAAATTTTGCATATAATGATTGTAAGGTGATAGCTTATTTAGTAAAATGAGTTATCAATAGGTAGAAGTGGTGAGACTCATACTAAAAAGATTCACCACATAACTATTTCTTAGTAGCTTATTTAGAAAATTGAGTGGCCAATTTCTACTCATTTTTCATTAACTTTGTCAATTTATAGTCAGTTAGAGGGAGAAGAGAGGAAAATTTATAGGATATGATAAATTAAGTAATTAACATGTATCTCCTCCCTCTCTCTACACGCTAGCTTAATAAAGAGTGTATATGTGATATTTGTAAATTAAGGGGTCCAAAAAATCAATATGAGATATTATGAATAAATTAGCATATACGTAAATTAGCAATAATTTTCAAATACGGTAGATTTAGAGTACATATGCAATAATTCTTTTTCATTTAAGCATTTTTGTAATTTTCATTGACTACGACCATGTCATAGTCCGATTCATCATGTAATTAGTCAATAATTTTCATTGACTACGACCATGTCATAGCAATAATTTTTCATTTAAGCACTTTTGTAATTTTCATTGACTAAATTAATAATTAATTAAAATTTTGTTTCATCCTTATTTAGGATGAGAATTGAGAATTATTCCTAATAATTGGTGTTCCCGTCTCAAAAATTTGGAGTTAGAAGCTGAGAAAGACGCCATCACAAGTTACACGATCAAAAGAGAACATAATATTTACTCTGTTTACTTTGCGTTGCCTATTATATTTCCTACTCCCTGCTTTAACTGAGAAGAACTTTTGCCCTCTTCTTTAGACATCTACTCGAGAAGACAGTGTGGCGATAACAGGGCGTATAGAATATATTCCCAAGATAAACATTATTTTGTGGGATTAGATGGAGAGAATGTTAAGAGTTGCTTTGTAGCTTTTGGAACGCGTAAGGGGCTGTTTGTTTGTCTAAAAAAAGTGGGGAATCAAAAAATAGGAAATCAAAGAATATGAAATCTTGTATTATGGTTGTTTGATTGGCTAAAAAAAGAAGGAAATCAAAGAATAGGAGATGAGATGAGATGAGTTGTCACCATATTATTGGATGATGTGAGTGATTTTTTAAGAAAACTTGTTTTGAAATTGTTTGGTTTGTTAAAAAAAATAAGGAAACGTATTATAAGAAACATATTTCCTATAATAGTTTCTTTCTTGTGTTTGGTTCATTCTTAAAAATAAGAAAATAGATGAGATGAGATGAGATGAGTTGTTTGTATATTATTAGATGATGTGACCCACACTTAAGAAAATTAATTTCATTGTTTTTTTTTTTTTTAGGAAATTGATGGAAATGAAAGGTTAATGTGATGAGATGAGTTATCACCATATTATTGGATGATGTGAGTGATTTTTAAATAAGAGATGAGATGAGTTGGATGATGTGACTCATTTCTTGTGTTTGGTTTATTTTTAGGAGATGATATGAGATGAGTTGGATGATGTGACTCATTTCTTGTGTTTGGTTTATTTTTAGGAGATGATATGAGATGAGTTGTTGGATGAAAATAATATTTTATTGGATAAAGTGGATGAGTTGTTAGATAAAAATAATATTTATTGGATGTTGTGTTGAGTTTTAGGGATGAAAATGGAGAAAAATAACGTTTTTGAGATTTTCATGACCCAATTTCCTATTCTTGATTTTTAGGAAACCAACCAAACAGCCCCTATGTGTCAAATAAATGTTGCGGTGTTAAATATGTAAAATGAATTTCTGAAAGGTGATATTTGCACTATTAGTTCTCCTGAACTCCTCTGCATAGCCATCGAAGGAACTTCCATTTCCGTGATTTGCGGGATCTAATCTAAGATTAACCACCGTCATTTTCTTAAAAAAAATTGAAAATCACTGAAAATAGTTGATAATCCGCTTTATTAAACTATTCATCTCTCCGTGCTTTTTATCTGGTCCAACATATTTTTAAGTTTAAAGTCTAGCTCAAGGGATGCTCATAACGATTTTTATTTAGAAAACCTTTGAAGCTAACTAAATTCAAAAGCAATCAATTTTCTTGAAGACGTCGATCATTATCCATCATTTAATGGTTTGTGCATGTTGACTTTTTTTTAATGTTATATGTCTTTGTCTTATCATATATACTAGCACTATTTGCAAATGCACCCGCAACAGAGATTAAAACATAAATATTCTAATTTATATATAAAATGTGTTACTTTACCGCCCTCAAGGATCATCAATTTTTTTCAAGAGTTTTTTAGGATGTTTGCTCGTTTAATAAGTTACATTTTGTTTATCTTATTTGGAATTGACTAATAACTATTTCAATTTGAGTGATGACAAAATTTTCTTAAATAATATTAATTCTTTAGAAGAGTCTATTTTTAATATTTAATTCAAGTTATTATTTTAATTATTTTTACCACACATATCTAGATATACACTTTTGATAATATTTACATTATAACATATTGACATTCTAATTGTTATTTTCATTGTATTTATTTATGTGCTTTTTGTTTAAGAAAATAACTTTATTATTTCATATTTATATCTCTTATAATATGCAATGCAATGGGTATGTTATTAATGGGCTTTAAGAACAAGCTCATGTCTACATTCTAGAAAGGTCTAGAAGAAAGAAAGAGAGAAGAAAAGAAAAAAAAAGGTTTCCTATAAAATTATAATTGTAACCTTTTAAATACATAAGAATGGAGGAAAAGTCCATCTCTCATTTATTTTTGCCAACCCCCAATATTTTTATTAAGGGCAGTTTTAGTTCGCTAACAACAAAAGATGGAAAATAAAAAGGAAAAATGTATCAATGTCCCAAACTAAAAGCTGTTGTGACTAGGTCCCACGTATTATTTTTTGGGTGACAAAGCCCCCAACACATAAAATACTTGTGTTTCAGCCCCTGTTTACCTTTCCAACACACAACATTGAGAAAAAAATTTCTAAATTCTAAAATTGCCCTTAACTCATTACCCAAAAATTGTCAGCCCCCTCTCTCTTTCTTCTCTTCTCAGGCTCAAACCTCAGCGAAATTGGGCGGAGGTAGCGACGAGAAGAAGCCGCCACCGTCGGTGAACGTGTGAGGACGAAGCTCCTCTTCTTGCCACCATCGGTAAACGTCTTCAGAGAAGCGGTGGGCTTGGATGCGAGGGCGTAGGCTTTGATCAGGGTGATGAAGAGCTACTCGCGGCAGCGGAGCTTGGATGCGGATGAGGTAGGTGTGGTCGAAGATGGAGAGGGAGGTTAGCGGGTCGG